TTAGCTTGCTTTAAAGGCCAAAGTATACTTTTTAATCCTTACAGTTCGTGTGACGCAAATTACATTACCAAATTTGTACGCGCATACTTGTATAATGTATAACGAGTGCTTCCCTGCATTATTTTAGGAAAACGTCTTGTGATTACAGTATTGAGCAGCTGTAATGCACCATTAAAATGAACAGTGAAAGTAACAAAAGCGTATACAATACATTTTAACAGGTATAATTTAGTGTGTAAATAACTGAAGGAAATATCTGTTTGATAAATGAAGCCAACTAACATGATTCATAATATTATTATTATTATTATTTTGTTTCTGTACCCAATATTTAAAAAAAATTCAAATGCTGTGAAAATACAGGTATCGGTATCGGCAAGTACCAAAAATAAAAGTATCGGTATTGGACTCGTTCTGTGAAAAAAGTGGTATCTGGGCATCCCTACTAAATATGAATATCAAGATGTGTTCTAAATGGCGCACTTGATGTGGTCGCTACTATCCCATGGCCTTTGTTTGTGCGGATCTACAAAGTCCATGAAGACATAGAGTATCCCATTTGTCATTTAACGATTGAGAAAGGTGCTCAAGAGTGCCCCCTTTGCACAATGGTGCGGACTTCACATCAGACTACTACTCTACAGTCTGTGCAGCATTTTTTCAGTAGGACAAAGAGGAGGACCATAAGGGCCAAGTGTGTCATTTGGAACAGGGTTTATGAGCTGTAGGTAACCACCTCATTTATAACAATAGGTTGGAGTACCGCTTTGATGCCCTTTAAAGTTTTAATTTGGACTTTTGCCTGTTAAAAATATTTTATAACCTTGTTTTTTGTATTTTTATTTGATGTTTGCAAGATCCCTGTTCTAAAAACATGTTCTACAAAGGAAATGGGCTGAGAATAGGAAATGAACATGAATAATTATAGGAAAATGCCTTGGAATTATTCATGTTTGTTTGCAAATATATTTCCCTTTGATTTTTTTTTTTACGGTTTTATTTTTTATTTATTTTCTTTTTTTGTTTGTTTTTTGCATGTTTATGTTTTTGTAAGTTTTATGTTTCTGTTTGTTTTAGATTTTCTTTTTCTTTCTTTTTTTTTGTTTATGTTTTAGGTTTTGTATTGTTTTATGTAGTTAGGCCTCTGTAGATGATAGTATTTTCCTGTAGCTAAAGCCCAGAAGCACCATTTAACATAAAAGCACGTCTTCAGTCTGAAATAATGGAGAATGTTTACAGACTGGCACTGGAAATTTCAACACTGTGTGCTTGTCTGTGTGGACTAAAGAGTTTAATAATTTTGTGTTAATAAAACACAACAGTATAAGTAGGAAGAGTGAGCTGTCACTCACTACACAGTTCTGCCACCAATGTGAGAGAATTTAGGTACATTATGTCGGCCACTTCCTCTACATGCTTCCTGTGCATGGAGCAGATGCCAGAGAGAAGAGACTGCTGTAGTGAAAACACTAATTATTTGACTTGTATGCAATTTTTTGTGGGTAGTTTTCCCGCCACAGCCTGTGATGTGACGATCTGGAGTGTCTGAATGGATGCCGTCCACCCCAGCACTGAGTCTCAGGAAGGGGATGCTTTTTCCTGATCAGACACAATGAATCCCTGATCCGTTTGTGTGCGTGTGTGAGGCATTTGATTCTCCCGTCACACTAGAACAAACAAAAGCATGCTTCCATAGTATAGTTTGTGGGAGAGTGAGAATGCACGTTTATGCATTTCATGGTGGATGCATTACAATTGCCTCTTTTATTTGCCAAATTGAACCCAATTATGAAATCCAATGAAGTGAACATTTTCGAATTGAGTCTAATGTTGTTTTGATTCAGTTGATGAACTGGATGATTTTTGGCGCCCCTGTGAAAGCAGTTGAATGTATATGTTTGTACAGAAGTGTTTAGCTCAGAAGATCTTAGAGTACAGATAGACAATGTGAGCAAAGAAAAGCAAAATAACCTTTTATAAAACTTTTGTATTAGTACATTAACAATGGTAATTTTGTATATATGAAGACTAGGCTTTCTGAGTAGCAGAAAGAAAAACATTCCTACATTTTTTTTAAATGTAAGTTTGTCAGAAATTATGTAAACATGCGCAATGTTTATGTGCCTTTTATTTGGGTTGTCTAAATAAATAAAAAAACTGTAAAACAAGCGTTTGAGAGAGATCTACCAGCATTTATTTTCAACAGTGCCAAAATGTATTGCATAAATTTGGAAAAGCTCCATAGACATTTGTCTGCATGGCAAAACTGATACCTCATGTTAACATTAATCTTTTATAACTTTCTTGCTCTCTTCACACAGATGTACCTTTGTTTGACAGGTTCTCTGCAATCATGGAAAATCAAGAAGTAACAGTATTAAAATGATTTCTAGGCACTTAAATTTCCTTTCTATTTCAATTTCTAATTATGCTCAAATTTTTAATAGGCCCTTTTTGTCAATGCAAATTATTTTGGTCCAAAACAAATTATACAAAATTATTTTGCTGCTCAAATATGCACTGAAAAAAATGTTTCATTCATCCAATTAAAAAAATTTAGGGTAATGATTCACATCTATATTTTTTAACTTGAGCCAATGAAAAATAAATAACTTGCCCTTAGTATGCGTTAAATATTTTGCTAGAAGTCTCTTTGTAAAGTTACATGGGAAATTCGGAGTCTGGCCAATGGGAATACAGAAGACCAGCGGGAGCTCTCTGCCTAGGCAATGGGCCAAATATTTTGGCCCAACACTTGATTTTGCATCAGTACAGCATCAGGCATTGCACATCACATATAAGTGTTTTCTCAATGCATGAACCTCACCCAAAAAAGAAAAATCCTCTTTCCTCTCTAATACATGGCTCTCCATCTGGCCCTGTTCCAGTGTTCCCCTCCCCCCACACTAGTTCCTTAATCTTACATGCTGTCTTTTTTTTTCTTCGCGAATCTCATATTGGTCGTTAGGACTCATTTCCATGTGCATTGGCTCCATTGGTGTGCGTTCACGGCCTCACGCTTGCAGCATCATTTGATCAGGCGTGACGCGCCCCTGGGATCCCAATACAATCAGCCCTGGGTTTAATCTCGTGTCCATGAGCAGGTGCTTCGGGTTCAAGGTCTTTTGTTTCACCCCTCACTGTCGCCTCACAACGGGGATAAAAGACAATGAGCCCCATTGAAAGAACAATTGCGCTTTTTTTCAGGGCGCCGCTGTTCACCATCTGCCCGTGTCTGTAAGTACAGGCAGCTGTATTAGCCTAGTATTTGAAGAGCATTTCTCTTCGTTCATTCATATTCATGAAAACATCTCATTTGGATGTTTCAGCAACATTGAGCACTTAAGTAATAAATAATTTATATTTATTATTGAAACAGAAAACAAGTGGTTACACCCTATATATCGCCTGTATAAGCTATATTATTGAGGGGTTTTCTGTGTTAATGTTTGGTCTTATATATATATATATAGAGAGAGAGA